TAAAAATCAGCCACACATTCGCATTCATTTAAATTATAAAATCTAATCACCTTTGTTTAAAATTTAATGAACGCCATAATTTCAGAGGATTTTCAACCACACAAAGCTATCAACAGCATGGAAGCTGTAGTGGTTGGTTGCTGAAGAGTGAGGGCGAGAATGAAAGGGTGGGGAGGGAAGGGGGAGGTGTTGGTAATTGGCGACAGGCGCCTAATGATGGCGCGGTTTACAGCCAGCAAACCATAAAAATTTAACAAAAACAAACTAAATACTACATGCAACAGAAAAAAAACAACAACAAATAGAACGGATTTGTATCTGTTAACGAAAATCCCGCCAACAATAATAACAACAACAACTACAACAAAATACAAAAGAATTTTAATTTTATTTTATTTATCGAATGTAAATAGTCGACAACAGCAGCAACAACAATAACAACAACAAAAACAGAAATGGCAACAACTACAAATACAACACAGAACAATGGCTCGCGACAAAAACAAATATTTAATGGTTTCATAAAAATCGAGCAATTTATTTAACAAATTATCCATTTTAGCGTTTCTCGCTTTGTTTTGTCAAATGAGGTTAATTTGTGTTTAACCTGCTGCAAGAGTGTGTGTGTGTATATATGTGTATATATATATATGAGTCACTGTGTAGTGCACGGTGGACTGTTAGGTAGGGTGCGTATAAATAGTGCGCATTGAAATATCTGGACTATATTGGAGTATCTCTGTTCGATAAATACGCTTGTAGCACAGCTAATGGGTCAGGAAAATGCTGATTAAAAAGCACAATTTATGGATGTAGTTGAATATGAAAATGAAAGGCAATTACAGCCGTAATAGAGAGGAGTTATGACAAGCTTTCAATCAGATCATTCGAAATTTATGCAGCAACAGCTGGAAGCGCCCTTCTATTGGTTTTCATTTCTTTACGATAAAATATTTATCATGGTTAACATTCCGATGCAAAAATTCTTTAAAAACTGATAAGTACACCTGTGTAAAAAAAATGACCCGCACTAATTATTATAACTTTCAAAATCTTTATTTAATGATTAACAACTATAGATTACCTTTAAACAACTAAATAAATAAATACTATACCAACGCTTTTTCAAATTCTTCTGGAATGGCCTACAGCACTTTCTTGGATCGGCTTAAATCTCCCTCATTGGGCCGAAACAGTATCCCCAAAGTGTGGTTTATAAAATGGCTAAAAAATGCTAAAAACTTCTAAACTTCTTTCTAAACTTTTAGAAAATAATGTTGTCTTTAAATCGTGGTGACAGCCCTATTAAAAATGTCAACAGGATCAGCCATCTAGTATCTTGTATTGACAACTTGTCGCCTAGGGAGAAATTCTTCATTTTTCTCTGCTCTTCTTCGTAGTTTTGAATATGGTTTGGGTTCGTCTGAAAAGCTTTTCAACCACAACTCTTTTTGAACATTTTACGCAATTTATAAACTTGGGTTTTTGACATATCCTGACTTATCGAAAGCCTACTGCAATATTCTTGAAGTTTCGGCTGCAGAAATACCATTCCTTACACAATACGATATAATAAAATAACCATATTAATCAAAAAAAAAAAAAAAAAAAAAACCCAAAACACTACAAATCTATGTCAACTAAAATGTATCTAATAAGATACTTGTAGGTTAAGTAGGCTTATCAAATCACTTGAATTTTAATATCTATGGAAATTTAATTGTTGTTAATTTATAAGAACCTTTCTTGTCGCACTAGGAAGTAATAATAAATAAATACAATTTAAACGAACTTTTTTGTGGATCAATTTTAAAGAAATAAGTTTTAGATGTTCGCAAAATATAACCCCTCATAAATATGCAAGGAATGAAGTGAAAATTAAAATTAAATGAAATGAAAATTAAATAAATAATTAAAAACAAAGACTAAACTCCTATTTTAAGCTGCATTTGTATTTTTCGATAAGTTTAATTTCAGTTATTGTAAATAATAAAAAAAATATTTAAAAATCTAAAAAAAAGGTACTGCCAACTTGAAAATAAAAAGAGTTTTTTCCTATGGAAACACACACTCAATTTCAGATTCATGGTTCCGGGTCATATTTGTACACGTATCTGAGACTAGACTTAACTAAATAGTACTTAATAATAGAATTGAAATAATTCATAATTTTGAAATTCGACCTATAATGAATATAATTTTCCAATATCTCCACGCTATTTTCTTTGATGCAATTCGGCGCTTTCAAGGCTGAACAAATTTGGGATAATTAGTCGTTCAGCTTATATGTTCTAGAATTATTAAATAATAATAATTAAATAATAATTATGGCTCAGTACAAATTATGCTCTAATATTAGGCACAGGAAAGGATTTGACATATACAAATATACTAGAACAATTACCTAACATTTGAAAAGGGAACATGCTTGAATACTGATTTGTGTAACTGAAGTATATATGTATAAGTAGTTAGGTAAGTAGAAATGAGTCACCTACATTTTTGGCTCTTCGATATTTCACATATATGTGCATATGCATGTGTATATAATGTACGTATACATGTGGGGGAAAAAAACAGGGGAGAAATACGAAATACGCGCACACGTCGCCAACAAATCTAAAATAATTGCGTATACGCTACGTGGGGGGCTGGAATGCTGCGGAAGGATTGCGTAGCGTTGACGTTGTCATCAAAATAAAAATTAATTATGCATTCTATGCGCTGCATTTGAATTGCCTTTGTTGTTGTTTGTTACTGTCATTCCCAGTTTAGTGCTTGTCGCAATTCTCGTGGTTGTTGTTGTAGTTGCATGTTTTTGCTATTGTTGTTGTAGTTGTTGTTGTTGTGTTGTGTTGTGCGGAATTAATGCGGCATTTAAGCACCGTGGATACCTTTTTAGCATTTGTATCTGATAACTGCCGGTGGCAAATAAATTACAAATATAATAATTAAGCAGCATTATTTTTGACAAAACAAATGCACGCACATCCCTCAGTCCCGCCTCCCGCCTCCCGCATTCCGTTATTTAGCTCGGCTTGCCTAATCGCATGGACACAATCGGAAGAGTTTGTTTGGCGGGGCGGGGCGGGGCAGGGAAGGGAATGCGCTCGGCGGGTGACACAACAAAATGCATTTGTGCATAGGAATTAATTACGCATAATGACAATTTGATAAAATTGAAAAATTACATTTTATTTAAATTGATTTATTATAATTAAAAATTCTACACTGCCGAGCACTGTTGTGCCAACCGCGGCTGTCATTTAAATTCTCCCCGCTGTGGCGCCAAATCAAGTCAGTTTTGTGAACAATGCACGTTTCATTCATCCTCCTTGTCTCCACCGTAATTACTCATTTAGTCTGGCCACGAACTGAATATTTTAGCCTAAAAATATACTAAGTATACAATGCAAGACTTTCGTAATCGAATAAGAGAATTATTATAAGCTGGACGTCCAATTATCACAAATTTCTAAGATTTCTAAAGAAAATAGCGCGGAGATATTGGAAAATTATATTCATTATAGCTCGAATTTAAAAATAAAAATTATTTCAATTAAACAAAATAATTTAATATGCCAAACTTTTACAGCGACCACAATTCTAGTATCCATGTGTGAAGGGAAATTGGTTAAGACAATGCTTCTAAATACAATTAATTTGAAAATGATCTGCAAAAAGTTTTATTCTTTAAAACAGCGAGCAGCGGAAAGACGGAGAGAAGATAGGAGATTTCATAAGCCACTCAACGATTAACTCAACTCGATTGAATCAGGTTCAGAAAGTAGAAAAGGCGGCCCATTTAGAAAAGTGAATATATTTTAGCTCATCTTAAATATTTTTCAATTTAATAATAATATTTTAATGATATCGTAATTTATTTAAATAAGTTATTTATTAAAAACGAAAACCTGTAAGTAGTAGATTAATAGCCAATATTAATATCCAATTGAGGAGTTGGATGGACCTAATAGATGAGCTCTCAAGCTACTTCGAAGCTACATATAAACCTTTTTGAGGATTAAGGATCTGCAAATAGTTCTATTCTTCTGTCTTTTAACAGTTACACCCAAATACCTATGTCCATACTATCTCATTCTTCATTAAGAAGTTATTTCATTTACCTATTCGGCATATTTTGTATTTTGTGGTCGGTCTAGACATATGTTTGTCTACTCCTTACTTCACTTTAAAGGATAAACAAATCTCTGACGTGATAAGGAAAGATTTCTGTCCAGTCCAGAAAGTAATGCTATGTTCAGATATTCTTCAGAGTAACTGCCTAAAAAAGAGCATTTTTTCTCTGCATTGGAAAAATTTTAAGTAAAATGGAGCAAGCAAGTAATAATACGAATACTTTGCAGCTTCAATTGGAACAACATGCGATAATATAGTATTCTTTAATATAATTATAAAGGAAGAATGTATTCGAAAGAGTAAATGGCCAACCCGATTGAATTCCGATTGATTTTTACCCCCCAAGTCAATAATCAAATTCCATTGCCTTTTTTCCTTTTACATAAATGGAAGATCACAGATTAAAAAAAAAGCTCAGATACTGTGATATTTCGACATTGACTCTAACGCAATTCATTTATTCTAAACAGTGGAAAAGGTCGTGCCATGTAGGTCTATTTCTGATCATCACACCACTAATTAAATCGATGTATGTAAATTCTTTCTTTTTCAACAACAATAATTTATACATGATTTTTATATAACACGGTTTAAAAATAAATAATTGCATATCTATTTTTTTTGGAGATAAGGAACCAATCCTCTATTTTTGCATATGATTAATGACTTTTTGTACACGGTTGTTTCTGGAACCAATCTACCGTGTAAAAACGGAATTAGGTGTACTTTGTAAATGGGCCACGATTTTTAATAAGACTATTTTGAAATAGAATTCATTTTGCAACATTTCTGATTCAAGTGGCAGCCCAATTTGTTTCAATTCCATTTCAATTCGAGACGAGCTGGCAGCTCTATTGAAAAAGTGTTTACATTTTTTTTTTTACTGTGAAAACCTAGAACATAAGCTTACGTACAATATTTAACTGAAGCAGACATGAATAACCAAAATACGTATTTGGACGACTTTGCGGCCCGCTGGCGCGGTAACCATCCGGATGACAAGTATCTGCCGCCATTTGTGGGCGGCCCCGTGGACGAGATATATCAGCAGGAGCTGATACGACGCGACATCCGAGAGTCGCAGCAGGCTCGTCAGGATTGGGACAACGAGCAACAGACATTGGGCATGGTCGGCGATAGCCTGCCCCCGACTTCGCATGCTGGCCGAGCATTTGGCAAAAGCATCACTCCTTTGCAGCAAATGGAAAGCCAGTTTTGGGTTGCCATAGGCGAGTATCCGTACGAACGCGCCTATGCCGTGTATCAGTTCTTTAGCGACATCGGACAATGCTCGGATAGGTACTTCAAGAGACCCAACGTTATTTATCTGAAATACTGCAAGGCTCTGCACAGCGAGACTGCTCTGAGCTACAATGCCCAAAAGGTTGGCTATGGCGCTGATATACCCGTCAAGGTGTGGAAGGAAACTCCGTCCCCGGAGATTCTCGAAGTCAAGAGAACAATCTCCAACAGTCAGAATATGGGAAGCCAACAATCGTATGTAATTAATAGTGAGCCGGTGGAAAAAAATGAAGCTATCCACGATCAGTTTCAGTTTCAGGCAATAATTCCCAAAGCCGCCCCCAAAAACCACACAATTTATCAATGGATCAAGGATAAGATCTCATACATGTTCTACTTTTAAGTGAGCTTAAAAAATGACTGGAGGATAGACATAGGATATTGACAGAATGGGGTAAGAAGTGCAACTGAAGTGGAAACGTTTTCTAGTTTGAAAAAACCTTAACATATTAGATTCGAAACATCAAATTAAAATCAAAATCAGTCGTACGTGGACACAATTAGACGAATACCTGGACTATACATAACAGCTGAGATCGGAAGGAAGATGAGATCGTTCCGAAACATTCAAAAGCAACCCCGTATATCGCAGTTTTTTTCAATCTTTTGGAATAAATGTTTTTTCTATTCTTTTGGTTTCGTAGTTCAAAGCTTGTTTGTTTCCAAATATTGTATTATTAAAAATTACACTTATAACTAATGGGATTAGGCGCCATGGGCTGATATTTAGTTGGGTGGGAATAGGGGATGTGGTGGTTGCCACCCACACAGGTGCTCAAAGCAGCCGCCACGGAAGTTTCTTTCACAGACGCCCATTGAGGAGGCCCTCAGATATCTGCCCAAAGATTAAAGGCGGCTTCCGCAGCTGGAACTTCAAAAGCGATCGGAGACGAACCTGTTGATGCTTCTCATCATATTTTTAACAATTCAACGCGTCTCTAATTTGTTTATTTGTTTGTACTGGCGGCGGCGGTCCCGTATTTGGCGGCTGCCTTTGAACAAACCACTTGTCTGGCCATTTGTGCGTCTATCGAAGTCAGGTGCGAGCTGATGGATGAACAAGCTGCCTGGGCAAGATCAATGAACTAATGCTTTCATCCTGCCAGATATCTTCTATTTGGCCAACATTGCTCTGCGTAGGTGTTAATCAGCCGCGAATCATATTTTTCAATCAAAATTATGGCCGCCTCTTATGGCTTGCAAAATAATTCAGAATGTTGATCAAAGCTCCCTTCATTTCTACAGCTAATCAAATGCAATGAGCGATTTGAAAATGAACTGTGATGTATCCCAAGAAGTATCTGGAATGGTTGAGCTACAGCCGAGATAAAACACAAAACATTTATGCTTTACTGTGTGGGAGTCTATTTATTAAACAATGCTGAACAACAATTTTGATATTTCTTAATCTTTTTATTTTTGATCTCAATGTGAATTAATTGCAAAGAAACAATCAATTTTCTGCTGAAGAATATGCTACGTATGTATGTACATATTTACTCGTATGTACATATATGTATTAATCATTTAGGTTGAATATTAAGAGCTCTTTATGGTAATGAAATGAATTGACTAATTTATTAATTTTTAACATTTATTTTAACATTTAAATTTATTATGTTTTAATATTTTTTCAATAGTAAATCATTCAAATGTATATTATTTATTAATTTACTATCCTTAGAAGGATTGCCCCCATTTTTACCTAAATCAATTGTTATTCAACAATTAACTTTATGTAATTAATACTATTTATTAGTTATTTTAATGATATCAACATTAATTACATTATATTTCTATATTTGTTATTCAGCATTTATATTAAATTATCAAAAAAATAATAGAATTTATAAAATTATTTTAATATAAATGTATACTTAATTTTTTATGCTGTATCATTATTTTGTTTAATAATTATCACAATTATTTTTGTTGTGCTTTAAGTTAAATAAACTAATAGCTTCAAAGCTTTAAATAAAGGAATATCATTTAAGCCTTAGTACATTTTGCACTAGACTTGGAATAAATTCCGAGTTCCACAGTAGAGTTTATAAAATATATGAAATTCTGAAACAACTACGACTTCAGCTACGACTCTGTGCGGCCTGTAATCAATTGTCTTGATTTCAAATTGCTATTTGTGGCAGCTGTTGGAGGAACTGTTGGATTCTCGACTAGCCCGAATTTTGTTTTATCCAAAAAAACAGTCGTTCTTATATTTCTATTAAAATAACAGTTAGAAGGCATTCTTGACAAAGAGAGCAACATAGAATATTCTTAGCCCCTTCCCTAATGTGTTTAAATTACGCGCGCATTTTATTCAAATACACTTTTCGATTTTCGAAAAAGCAAAAACAACATCGTTTTAGCACACACACACACACAAACAATACGTAGCACAAAACTTGGCGAGTCTAACAAAACACTGACACTAAGCATGTATTTGTATTACAATAACAATAATTTATGCCGGTCGTTAGTTGCGGGCTTGGTTGGGGGTGGTGGTGGGGGCTGGAGAGTGGTGTGGGTCGGCGAGTGCAGGAAGTGCAAGGGTTGGAGGTCGTCGCTGCCGGCAACTTTGCATATTGCAGCGTGGCTTGCTTGTTTGTGTTTGTGTTGGAGAGCGAGCGCATCGTTATTCAACTCTCAGCAGACTCTCTTGCTTGCTCTGAAAAAGAGCGAGCGTAGCTATTGGCAATCATATTGCTCTCGCTGCTTCTCTCTCGCAGCTTCCCCTTTTGCAGCCGGTCCGTTTCGTTTCCATGCCGTTTCGTCGCTCTCTGCAGCTTAATTGCTCCGTCATTTCCCCAACTAAGCAGACATCTGCAGCGCTCTCTTTGCTTTATATTTGCTCTCTGGCTGTCGTCGAATTTATTTTTTGCTTTTGCTGTTCCCCTTTGGCTCTTGATGCGCTCTTCACACTTGTCAGCGCATCGCGTGTTGCTATCTCATTTGCACGCCCAATGGGGCTTTTGGTAGTGGAAGTGGTTTTTGTTTCTTTTTATGTTCGTCGCTTTCACGTTGTAGCTGTGTTTTAATTGTTGTAGTTGCTTTTATTGTTGTAGCTACTGCAAAGTGCAAGCTCGCACAAACACACACACACACGCACACACAATGGCATTTTCAACTGATTTTATTTTTTCACCTCATTGTCAAAATGTTCATTTGCGATAAATATACATACATACATACATACATACAAATGAATGTAAATATGTGCATGCATATATATATGTATGTATGTATGTCTGTATGTATGTATATTTCTATTTGCCTTTGAAAAGTGTAAGGCTATATTGGAGTGATCAGCTAAACGACGATTCGAAACCAAATCGCAATGTCTGTCTGTCCGTCTGTTTTTCTGTCTCATCTTCAATCGCCCTTCCCCCCTCATACATAGACTAAGAGTTGTCAGCGCCAGGCGACAATATGTTTGTTAATTGAAGCCACATTGCAGATTGGAAATTTTGTTCTTATACCTGATAGTGGGACGCAAGTGACAACTTCTGACCAAATGCAAATTTCCTCTAACGATTAAGTAGCACGCATATAGAAGAGTATTTGATTGTCAGCCCTTAACTATGGAGAAATATATAGGCACAGCAAAAAATGCAGACAAAGCTAACTTCTTAGCTCGGCTAAGAGTATTTATTTAAAAATTGGGTTTCTTACAACTAAGGGTGTTAATAAGAGTTGGCAATGCCTCAATGTCGTTCCTGTTGGAGTGCTGCATTATCTGATTGGAGTCCAATATGTGAGTGTACACGATAGTGCAATTGTGCTAGTTGGATTTTATACACATTCTTATTTGCGTGCATTCATTAAATTCGTAGTTGGAATATCGTTGAGCATTCCAATAGGAAACTTGCTATGTGATTTCGCACTCACTCTTTCGGTTTCTTCTGCTCTCTTCAAATGCCCTTGAGCTCATCAGCTTACGGCCAATGCTGCTGCTGCTGCTGCTGCTGCCGCCGAAGGCGTATAAATTGGCATGGGAAATCCCGTTAATGCCACCGCAACTGTGCTTTTAAATCATATTGATAATGGGCTGAGCAGACTGCTCGGGCTGTGTCACCCACACCCACACCCTTCCAGTGTTTATTTTAAGCAGCCTATGTCCTCTCTCCCTCCCACTAATTCCCGCTCTCGTCCGCTCTGACACGCACTCGCCCTTGCATGTTTTGGAGTATTTTTGTGATTTGATTTTATGACGTGTAGTAATTTGTTGGCTCGTTAAGTTTTTTTAATAGGCTGCCCCAACAGCGGCAACTACAACAATAACAACAGCAACAACAACAATCCGTTGACTGCATTCAAAGTTTCTGATGCATCTCTAGATCTCAACTCATGCCGCACGACGATGGTCGATGCATTTCATGGTGCCTGCTGCCTGTTGCCTGCTGCCTGGTTGCCTGCTCGCTCGGTCAATAAAATTCCAAAATTTTTACGAGCAGAAAAAGGGAAATCCAACAAAAATGTTTTTTTTTTTTTATTGCACCAGAAACACTCAATAAAAGCGAATTATTAGCGCGGAATTGTTGTTGGATCGCCGGTCGTCCCTAAGTCTGCCGCACAGTGGGCCATATTGTAGGCGACTATCAAAAAATGATTTACTTTAAATGCAACCACAAATACAAATAATATATCGTTGATAAATATTTGGCATTGTACTTTGAAAGCTTCAGCTGAGACTGTATTGTAAATTGTTGAAAGGTTTTAAACCTTCGGGCACTTATTTCCTCACGCTGCCCACTGTGCGTCCCTTTGGCTTGTTTTGGCTGCGCCTGTTCTATTCTATTTGGCGGCACTCTGTCGTTTCACATGCAGGCCGAACTTCCCCCTTCGGCCACCACCTAAGCATTGTGGTTGATTTTTTTTTTTTTTTTTTTTTTTTTTTTTTTGAGGTGTAAATGCATTTTTATTACAACTTTTAAAACCAAAATCGTTTGAAGCGCACAATTTTTTGCGTTGTAAATCCCACTATCTTTTAGTTATGATTTGTTGGCCATGAAAACATTTATTGTGGCTTTTCCATTTTCTGAATTACGCGCTTTGATTAATTGCTTTAATAGCTTTGGCATGGGATGAAAATAAAAACCGAGACCATTTAAATATGAATACGAATATATATAGAAGAATAAAATATACCCTTCACCAGTGCCTTCAGGCCTTGCCTTTAGAAGAGGCTAACTAACTGATTGATAATGCGACGAAAAGTGGAGGAAACTATTCAACAAATCTTAAAGAAGGCGCTCCCAAGTTTTAAAAGACCAATCGATCCTGTTTCCATAACATCTTAATCGGATTTTTAAATCTTCAGCAATAAGGACTCATTCAGTAGACAGTCAGTAAATGAATGCCTTTTAGAACTGTTTTTGGAAATCTTTGGGGGAATCTTCAACGCAATGCATAACTTAAATGTTTCAATAAAATAAGAAAATAATTGTCTTCAATAAAGAAACATTATTATCATCAATAATTTTAATCTTGTTTCAATAAAATAAGAAAATATTTATCTTTAATAAAGAAACCTTAACATCATCAATAATTTTACACAACTCCTAGAATAACGTTCAAGTGGCTTTAAATGAAATCGAACATTTTGTATAATATTTGCACTCATGACATCTCCATTATTGAAAGTTATAAGACATAAGTCTTTGCTGATGATACTGCTCTTTATGCTCCAGTAATTTTCTTAGTAT